ATTTGGATTTAGAATTTGCCAAGTCAATGTGTAGTTATATTTACAGAAATGAGTTGATAAATGGTAGCACTGTACATGATGTAATGTTAGTTTACACATGGTATCTTACTAGGGTCCCACGATAATCCTGTTGGGTAGATAGCAGTTACAGTACACCTACATAACTATAGTACTTCCTATAGTACTCCCTATGTTATTAGAGCAGACATACTGGTTTTACACTGATGGCTGTGCCATGCGAAGAGCACTTTATGAAAAATCTAAGTGTTCTGAGATTTCTCTGAGTTTCTTACTCTCTTCTACAACAAAGCCTTTAATTACCCTTTTCTCCCAAAATAGCTTCTATGTTTATGACCCTAAGTAGGTCTCAGTTTCAGGATCTTCTTACTCGGCAGTCATTTTCTCAGCACTAATGTTGTTACATCATCTGACACACAATGTCAGAACCAATTTGAAACTTTTATAAATTCCTTTCCTTGTTCCTGGTTGGTATGAGGAAGATATGTAATACATATGGAAGAAACCATAAAATGCAAAGAGGACTCTTACGTAGGCAATCTCTCTGATGGTGGGCATGGCAAATTACAAATTTGTATAGGTGTTGTGTTCCTCACCAACCCACAAATCTAGTGAAGCAAATAGCTAATCTTCTTAAACATTGTATAGTTTGGGGTCTTATCGTCAGCATTGTTTAATATTTTTCTATTTTAAGAATCTACATAAAGTGTTCCCCTTCAGCTGGGAAGGGACTGCTATATCCTCTTAGGATTCAGCTCAGATACATCTCTCAGCTGACCTAAAGCCCAGTCAAATTTGTCATACATTACGTGAAACACTGTAGTCTGGATATATTCTGAATATATCCTGGATATAGCCTGAAAATTATTTATAAATCTCTAGTGAAGTTCAAGTGAACAAGTTCTCCAGAAAAGTCTACCTTTTATTTGCTAAAACAGGTTAATTGAATGGTGTTGATGTCATTAGACATTCTTAGCCACCCACAGTGAGATGCTGCACATAAAAAGACATTATTCTGTCCTACAGCTTCACGATCTAAAATTAGATATACACAGACAAGCCAGATAAACATAGACAGCACATTTTTAAGACCAAAAAGAAATGATCAGAAAAATGATGGTGAATCAAAAAGCTAGAAGGAATTGACAAATATATCTTCTGACTTTTATTTGTAGTCTTAACTACCTCTATCAGAAGGTATCATACTGCTAAAGTCAAAGAATGAGGCTGATAGCTCCTGAAGGGCGACAGAACACTAATGGGACTGCCACTGCACAGTGTTCTCAGCTTTGGAGGTCCAGAAACTCCTTTTACCAGCGGTCCTTGTTTGTCCCTCCTTGCCTGACTCTGAGTACTAGAAGTCTACTGCTTACCTGCACAGCACTGGAACAAGCCAGCATGTTAGGAAATACTCCTTCCAATTGCCTGTGGAGTTTAGAAGCAGTGCACTGTGGCAGGCTGCCAGGCAGTCTGGACTTGAACACGGATGGCCCTAGGTGCCCATGTGAACTTCGGGCTGAGATCTCCCAATTAACCCCAATCCTTGGGTGGTCAGTCCACAAGCCTGGTTGGCCTTTTCCTTAAGGTTAAATTTAAACAAAAAACAAACAACAACAAAAACACCTGTAATGTGCCAGGCTTTGTACTCAGTGGTAGGAATATAGATAAACGGAACACAGACTCCATTTTAGAGCTTACAAGTTATTTTGGGAGACAGCTCATAAGCAGCCTATTTTAAAATAATGTGGTAAATGTAGTGGCAGAGGGATGGTCAGGGTAAAGCTCAAAGGAAGAGTACCCAGCCCAGTCTGGTGGTTCGGAAGGGTGACTAGGAGGTGGGGAACAGTCTGAGAGCTGGGCAGAACCAGGAGAGTTGTAGCCCAGAAACCAAGAGAGCGTATAAAAAAAAAGAGAGGGAGGAAAACAGGGCCAGCTTCTGTGGATATTGAACAAAATGAACCTGGAGAAAGTCCACTCGATATGTCCAAGAGAAGAGAAATCACTGATGACTGCTGAAAGGGTAGTTTGAGTAGAGGTAGGAGGAATTGTGTAATACAGGGATTGAGGAATTAAGGGGAAACAAGAAGTGGAAATAACAAGTTTGGCTGTGAAAAACAGAATATGCCATTAGGGAGAGTTTGGTTTTTTTCATTTTTAATCAGAAAAGTTTCTAATCTGAGAGAAAAGAGCTGGTTGGAGAGGTGACTTGATTGATGGACAAAGGGAACAGACTCTTGGGTCCAGTTCCAGATCCCGCTTCTGTTTCCAACTGAGATGAGCTCGACTCTTCCGGATTCAACCAGCAACACCCTCCCCTCGGGGATGGACTTTGCTTCCAGTCTCCTTTGTACATTGTCAACTGTACCTCCCTAAAATATAACAGTGAGCCCTGAATGGCAGGAATACAGCTGCATGAGAGTCCTGATGACCAGTTTCCTCCCAAAGGATTTATTAATCTACAAAAGAACCGGTATATCTTTCTAGTGACTAGAATAATTCTCTCCACCATGCAGGGCATCCATTTCTTGTGTCAGGGTGCCGTGGAAGCTCAGCTATTAATTGGACTTATCAATCGGGAAGCTGCTTGTTCAAAACGGATTCATAACAAAGAGGGCTTTTGAGAGTTAATTAATCCTAGCTCTAGTGAAACCTTAGTAAGCCCTTTCAAGTGACTGGAGGGCTCAAACCCACCCTAGATGGCGCTTGCCAAACTCCCATTCTCTGGCAAAATTTTCCAGATTCCAAGCAAACCATTTTTTTAACTTTGTTATTTACAATCAAGTTTTAGTGAAGTCCACCAGAAAATGTACCCTCATCTTTCTCTACCAGAAGTATGTGTAAACCCCCCTGGACAGATAATCTTAGTAATTATGCATGGTTTAGATAGTTTTAACTCGGTGTAGTTTAATTTACAAGTTACTGGAGGTGATCTCCCTTCACCTCTTTGCTGAGTACAACTCTTCTTTTACCCGTTTGGTTTTTCACGTTGTCTCTGTTCAGTAATTTAATTAAAATACTAAAATGAAGTCTTATTTTCTTTTAAAGTACAATGGAATTTGTACCCTCCCATTTCTTTTAAAGAAAGCAGAGAATCTAAGAGAAAATGGTTGTGGATAAAATGCTGGGATTGGATGTTTATTATACTGATTTCAATGATTGCATTTTAATCTGATGATTTAATCTGATGATTATAATTACCAGAGGAACTCATCATAAGCCTCTTGAGGACAGGAATGTGTTTCAGCCTGTCATCCACCTTCCTCATCTACCCACTTGGTAGGTACTCTATAAATATACTGATACGTTGTGTTTAACCAGAGTTCTAATAAATTGCATGGTGATTTATCTAGTGATAGATGTGTCTTCTTAATGCACAGTCCTAAGATTTTTGCTCTTTTTGCCTAATAAATGACATGAGGCAACATGTTTTTCAGAAATATGATCTTCTTCCTACCAATATAGGGGTAAAAGAGCACTTACATAGGACTCTCCTGGTTTAAATTTTAATTAAATGAGAATATAGTACCTAGTCCATACCTGCCAATTTATTTGGCATGCACTGAAGTTTATTGAATTAAAGAATGCACTGGCAATTTGAGACCGTTTCCTTAACAGTAAAATAAATTACTACTTGCTCCACGTCCCACACAAGATCGCTGTAGGAAACAGATGGTAGAATGTTTATGCAAGTCCTTTAAAAACTATTAAATACTACTTTAAAGTGGGAATTTGTATGTTGACATAGTCATTGCTATTAACCGGCATTTTCTACGGCTATCAACTCATTAAATTTACCAGCCCTATTAAAGGCCACAACTAGAGTACGGAATTGTTTTAAACATTGGTAATACTGCGTTTGAAACTATTCCTAAATGGTTGCAAGTCTGTGGTGCCGTGTAAAACTGTAATAGACTCATACTTGAAGGAAAAACATTTATTTTTCTCGAGTCCTATCTTCTGCCTCAAAGAAAATCTCTGCTGGAAATAGCACGAATCAATGATACCAAACTAGCATCTTAAATTAATAGTGATCACTTTACTTTAACAAAGGAAGCGGAAAAGACCCCAAAACAGCTTTCCCAGATTAAAGCCACTGTCCGACGACAGAATCCAATGAAGAGGCTGAGGAAAATCTAAGGCTAGAAAGCCAAAGGACGAGGACCCACGAACCCCTCCCTTCCCCCACTCTACTGAACGCACCGCGGGGTGGCAACCGGGGTTCAGCGCCAGGACGGTTGGGGGCCGCCAGGACCCGCGACCAGTTAGGGTCAGCGGGCGCCGCGGCCGTTGGGGACTCCAGTTCCCAGCAGGCACCGCTCCTGCGGCCGACGCGCGGGGCGGTGCTGCCCGCTGGGATTCGTAGTACGGTCCGGGTAGGAGACGGGGAAAGCCAGCCTTGGCTCTTTTCACGCACGTTTCGGATACTGGGCCTGGATGGGATCACGCCAGCCCACTCAGGCCCGGCGTTCCTCAGGGGCGGGGGCGAGCGAAGTCGGGCTGGCTGCGGCGGGAGGAGACCCGGGCTACCGTGCACGTGTAGGGTGGTTAGTGCCGAGGAACCCGGAAGCCCTGCGCACCGCCCACCGCGGTGTTGACGGGTTAACGCTTCTCCCGGGTGGATGTCGGGGCGGGGTGTCTGAAGGGCGGGGCCGTCCCACCCGACTACTCTGAGAGCCGCTGGCGAGTAGATTCTCCCCTCCCCCACGAGCACCCACGCAGCGCGGGCCCCGCCCCCGGCCGCGACGCGTGCGCAGAATCCCTATCCCTCCGGTTCAACCCCACCCCCTACCCGCAGCAGCAGCCGCTGTCGCGGTCGCCACCTCTCCCTTCCTCTCCACTCGTTTTTCCTCCCGTTTTCTTTTCCCTCCTCCCTCTCACCCTCTTTTCTCCTCCTCCGGCGCTGACGCTTACGTAGGGTCCTAACGTCAGACGCGCTGGGGCGGGGCGAGTGCCGCGTGGGATATAAATAGAGGGTGCAGGAGGCGGTGCTTCCCCTTCTCCCCGGCGGTTAGTGCTGAGAGTGCGGAGTGTGTGCTCCGGGCTCGGAACACACATTTATTATTAAAAAAACCCAAAAAAAATCTAAAAAAATCTTTTAAAAAAACCAAAAAAAAATTTACAAAAAATCCGCGTCTCCCCCGCCGGAGACTTTTATTTTTTTCTTCCTTTTTATAAAATAACCCGGTGAAGCAGCCGAGACCGACCCGCCCGCGGCCCCGCAGCAGCTCCAAGGAGGAACCAAGAGACCGAGGCCTTCTCGCTGCCCGGACCGACACCGCCACCCTCGCTCCCCAGCCGCAGCCGGCAGCCAGTGGCCAGCGGCAGCGGATCGACCTCGTTCTGCGGCTGTTGAGTAGTTTTCGATTCCGGTTGATTTTTGTCCCTCTGCGCTTGCCCCCGCTCCCCTCCCCCCGGCTCCGGCCCCCGGCCCCAGCACTAGCTCTCATACGGAAAGGTCGCGGCCTGTGGCCAGCCGTGCCGAGATGAACCCCAGCGCCCCCAGCTACCCTATGGCCTCTCTCTACGTGGGGGACCTACACCCCGACGTGACCGAGGCGATGCTTTACGAGAAGTTCAGCCCGGCCGGGCCCATCCTCTCCATCCGGGTCTGCAGGGACATGATCACCCGCCGCTCCTTGGGCTACGCGTATGTGAACTTCCAGCAGCCGGCGGACGGTGAGAGTCGGGCCCGGCGGGCGGGCGGGTGGCCATGAGGCTCAGGCGGCGGCAGGCTGGCGGGCTAGGCCGACGGGCCCGGGCGGGGCGGGGGGGGGCGGCGGGAGGGCATGTCACACTTACCCCGCTCCCGAGGGCCGGCGGGGAGAGGCTCGGGCGCCCGGACCCCATTCCCCATAACCCGCGGGAACACGCGCAGCAGGCACCCGCACGCCACTTCCACGCCTGGCCACTTCCTTCTTTGCAACCATTTTCTCGGCCTCAGCGGCTTTCAAACTTTAGGGTGATGACGCGCTGGAAGGGTTGGTGAGGTTAGGTTCTTCCACGGCGCTTCCGCTAGTAGCCGCGGGATTCTGGGGTCGAGCGCCGAACCCCCTTTTACGGTAATAGGTAGAGGCGCTCCTACCACCTGGCTCTCTTGCCTGCCCCCCCGGCACCGGGAGGAAGTGCTGTCGGTCGGTGCTCGAAAAATACCACGTGTTGAACCCTGTAACCTCACAGGCCCGAGGCCTGTTTGTGCTCCTGGCCCAGTCTCCTGGGAAAGCCACAGGGCTTTAGAATAAAGTTAACATGGTGACGTAGTGGAGGTCGTAAGTTTTCTGATTCCATTCATAATAACTTGTCAGGGATTGATGGCTTTCTAAAAATGCAAATTACCAATGAGCAGTGCTTTTGGGGTTTTCCCCCAGTTCGAGCAAGGTTGGAGGAGGGCGTGCGGAGGGTGACCCCTTGAAGGCCATAATTTTCTCAGGCAATTTGGATCGTTTTAATTATTTTCTTAATCAGTGTAGTTTCATACTACTGGTAATTTGTTCAGTATTTATTTTTCCTTTTCCTAAATAGTTCCTATGACTTTGAGGCGTTTTACTTAAAAACATGGATGTAGAATGTTACCGTGAGCGCAGTGTGGACTGGATCATTATTATGTGGCATTGGAGTAGTTCAGGTTTCTTGATTTCTTTTTAAAAGTGGTCCAGAATATCCATAAAACGTGAGGAGTGATAGAGTAATTGAGTACTGAATAACAGATTTCGAATTAGGTACAGTCTTGTGGGGAAATATATTGCTAACCTTGTATTTTTAATTTTGAAGTTAAACTTTTCACAAAAACAAAATTTGGTAGATAAGATATGTGACTTGATGCTTGTTGCCAGGGTTTTTTCTTTATGTCTGGATCAATTGAATTGCAAGTTAGCTTCACTTGATTTTATAGCCCAGTTTTGCATTTCCTCCCAGGCTACTTAAATACACATCAAGTGTTATAAAATATATAAAGGATTTGTTTTTGTAGAAAAGGCTTTAAGGGTGGAATTAAAACCTTTATTTTATTAAATTCATTTAGTAGAACTTAGGTTACTTTAAAGATGAGCTTTTCACTGGGTAAAGTGAATATTCAGATTTTGGGTATGCAGGCTGTTGAGTGACAGCCAGATGTTGTAAAACTGCACTGCAGGTTTCGTGCCCTTTTTGCTCTGTAAGCAGTAGCTCCAAATGTCCCTCCATAGCAGTTTTTCCCAACTTTGGGCAAGATTGATCACTGAACAGGAGATGAAATCATTGTAGGAAACATAACTTTGGATCCGGTAATCACAATCTAAAGAGTTGATAGAAAAACCTTAACAAATCCTATAGACCAATCGGAAAATGGTAACTTTTGAAAAGTAGGTTTTATTTTTTTCTAAGCTTAACCATTTTAAATCCAAACAAACAACTTTTTAGATTCCTTGGGATTTGAAAGGTCGAATTTTGGCTTGCCATGGTTATAGTAGTCTGTACCAGTGGAGTAGTGCTATGACGGCTCAAAAGCAGACAGCATTTTTCCTTTTCCATCTATTTGGTTTCTATAGGTACAAATTACTGTCCTTCCAAATAGTTTTTTCAGTGGTTTTCTTTTTCTTTCTTACTGCTGCATGGATGGACCTGTAGAATAGCTTCTGAAAGTGACTAGTTTTCAATTTAACAGGAAGAGGTGACTCATTCAAAAGAGGCTCAAGCAAAGTCAGCTAAAAAACTCCAGAGCTGAATAGGTGTGGTCAATTGATAATGAGCTGACAGCAGATTGGCATTACCTTCTAGAAAATGAGGCTCTCATTTATAAAAAGAAGTGGCTAGAAAATTTGTCCTCCTAATAACTTTACAGTTAGTTACATTGGCATGAAATTTGTGAAACTTGGTGTAGATACTGTAGAACTTAAAATGAACTGTGTTTTTCTCTTCTTAAGGGACTGGTCTTTAATTAAGGATTTTTTTTTAATTTAGAGTCAACTTCTTTAATAAATGTTTCTTTAATGGTATAAGTGCACAAAATTCTTCATAGATCTTGAAATCACTGGGTCGATTTTGAAATTTTCTAGCAATATCCAGAAATAATTGGCTAATTTAATAGTTAAGTACAAAAGTGATCTAAGATAAAATTGCTTTATAGGTCAAGAAAGCATTAATAGTGAATTATGAATATCATAGACCTGGTAGTTCAGAAATTGTGGGTTAACAGGGCTAAGTATGCCCAACTTCATGTTAGTTTTTGAAGGCCTGATTCAAATCTGGATCTCAATAGATACAAACCTTTCCTGTTTTTGATTATATGGCAATAGGAAGTTGTGCCCATGAATCACTGAAATCCCCCCAAATAATTATTTTTTAAGAAAATTGACTAATTTTTGTGTAATACTGGCAGTGATAAACTGCCAGTGAAAAGGCCAGTTTTGGCAAGTAATAAGGAAGAAGTTAACATGCTTATAAATTCATAGACTACTCGTATTCTGTGGATACACCTCAATTGCCTAATGTCTTTTATATTGCTCATTAAGCAGATTTTATGTGAAGGGAATCATGCTTGACATCGACTAGGAACAAAAGGGTGCTTTTATAAACATAATGGAAATTAAATGAAGAAATTGTTTTAGAAATATATTATTAGTGATGTCATCCTTTCACCACTGGGAAATCTGAGCTTTTTGCTCTTCTCTTTATGTGTCACACCATTTAAATCTCAACTAGTGCGAGGTAAGGTCCGACTATCTTGAAATTAGAAGAAATAGACCGTGGGCTCAACCACTCCTCCCACACACAATAGTTTATAAAATTTGAAGTGGCCCATAAAAGTTTTGAAGTAATAAGTCACTATGAAAATTGTTCTTCCTGCAGCGGAGCGTGCTTTGGACACCATGAATTTTGATGTTATAAAGGGCAAGCCAGTTCGCATCATGTGGTCTCAGCGTGATCCATCACTTCGCAAAAGTGGAGTGGGCAACATATTCATTAAAAATTTGGACAAATCTATTGATAATAAAGCACTGTATGATACATTTTCTGCTTTTGGTAACATCCTTTCATGTAAGGTAAGCAAAAATGTGACAGGGAAACATTCACAGTGTTTTAGCAAACACTTGTAGGTTTATTCCTTAAAATGGCAACCATACTGTCTATTAATGAGTATCTTTTTATTTCCCAAATACCCAGGTGACTGACTAGTTACAGTTGACCCTTAACACGCATTTGAACTCTGTGGGTTAACTTAATGCAGATTTTTTTTCTGTGGTTGAGAAACTGGGTGCGGAAGGCTGACTATGCATTGTTCTATACCATTTTATATAGGGGACTTGAACACAGATTTTGGTATTCATGGGGGTCCTGGAACCAACCCCAACCCCCCCCCCCAAGGATACTGAGGGACAGCTTAAGTATTTGGGGAGTCAAAAGTTACACGTAAATTTTGAAATATGAATATGTGCTGGTATGTCAGCTCCCCTAAGCCACCCCTTGTCTTAATGAGCATTGGTTAGCAATTAATAGTAAGTAATGAAAAATTGGTACACATTTTTCCCTAGGTGGTTTGTGATGAAAATGGTTCCAAGGGTTATGGATTTGTACATTTTGAAACACAGGAAGCAGCTGAAAGAGCTATTGAAAAAATGAATGGGATGCTTCTAAATGATCGCAAAGTGTAAGTATAAATATTTAATCACACTTCAGATCTCTTTTTAATAGTTTATATCAACAAATTAATTTTATAAGTTAATGTGTTTGTGCTGTGCTCCTAAAGAGATAGTTAGGCCCTGGCTACCTGGGGTTGGGTCTAACTCCTTATGCCAAAAGGTTATGGATTCGGTTTCTGGTCAGGGTACGCACCAGAAGCAACAGATAGAGGTCATCCTTCCTCAGCGATGTTTCTCTTCCTATCTCTCACTCTTCCTCTTGCTCTAAATAAAGTCAATTAAGAAAGAAGAAAGGGAATATCCTCAGGCAAGGATTAAAAATAAAAATAAGAGATACAGTTAGAATGAAAATTAATAAACCACATCTTGGGGAGAGATTTTATAATTATCTTTTCTCTACATTCAATATAACGTACAAATAAAGTGAATTGATGAAATAATCAACATTCAGAGCAAAAACAAAAAAGAGGAAATGGGTGTACTGGGATATAAAGTTAGTTCAAAATAAGTGCATAGTTGAATGGGAATTCAGTCATAAACTTAATCATAGTTCCATAAGTAGCAATTAACTCATTTTATATTTGAGGAAACTGAGGCTAAACTAACTTGCCTATAATTAAAAGCTGGCATGATACAAACCCAGTTGGGCTAGGAAGCAAACCCAGGGGTTTAAGTTCTGAGCCCAGGGTGGCTCTTGACTTGGTTATACTGCTTCAATTATTGGTGGACTTTAAAGTTGTTTTTTTTCCCCCCCAACCTTTTGAAACTCCTTCATCCCCTTAAATAAAAGGCTGAATTAAACCAGAAGTCTTCATGATTAAACTTTTTGAAATAAACTTGTTCTTGAAAGTTGCAAACTTAAAATAATGACATTGATAAAACGTGTGTGAGACTATTTCTGTTACAGGTTGTAACAATACAGATTTTATGAGCCCAAACAAATGACGAATCAAATGTTTCACCCTCAGTGCCAGTGAGTCTGGCCAGTTTCAGCTGTGAGGTCATACTAAAATGATCTGAGTTCATGTTGCTGTATAATGGTGGTATACAAATTGGATTTGGTTGTAAGTCAACTGCGTCACTCTAAAGGCGTGGTTCTCTTAAACCAGTGCATCAAAGTGGCGTTGTCAGTCTGCATGGAGGAGTCATGCTGCACATGTTGGCTGTTTGCATTCCGTGTCAATTACACGTTGAAGGGAAGACTTCATAATGTATGAAGTGCCCAAGTCTAAGAAAATCAGCAACTCCTTAATATGGACGTTTACAAAGGCTCAGAGTACATCTTTTTTTTTTTCTTTTCTTTTTTTCTTTTCTTTTTTTAATTTTCTTTAGAGAGAGGGGAAGAGAGGGAGAGAAGCATCGATGTGCTAGAGATGCATCAGTCAGTTGCCTCTCTCTCTCATGGCCCCAACTGGGGACCTGACCCACAACACAGGTAGGTGCTGTGACTGGGAATCTAACCTGTGACCTTTCGGTTCACAGGCTGGCACTCAGTCCACTGAGCCACATCAGCCAGGGCTTAGAGTACATCTTTAAATGAAAAATCTTCACCACCATTAGCACAGGCAGATGAAAACATAGTTTGCTTGTGCGTTGGTCTAGATTAAATAGACTTATTGCTGAATATAAAATGATACTATTATTTTGGAAAACAGTTTGACTATAAATTTAAGATCATTTATACATTATTTGAACCACTGATTTCTGCAACTCTGTCTTAAGAACAAACAATTGTCTCATAGTTCTGGCATTACGAAGGTAGAAAGGTTAGTAAATAATGATGGCCACAATAGAATAATAGTATGCTCCCATTGAGAACATTTATAACATGGAGAAGAAGCACCACCATATGGGTAGGTAGAGGGTGATACAAGGAGATAAAACATAGGCATTTTCTTTAATGTTTTTAAACACAGGAAACAAAGACATTACATTAAAAACGAATCGTGATTTGAATGGGAATATAGTTTTTATACTTTTATGTATAAATATTCTTCAGTGACACGTGTACTAACTTTTATATTGGCACTTGGTAATTTTGCAAAGAAAATTATGCCAGGCTGTGTGTTAAGACTACAGAATTAAGTTAGATTTTTAAGTTAGGAGATTGCAAACAAAGTGCAAGAGCCACTTTGAAATAGCAGAGTGAAAGCTTTTATGTCTTTTCATTGGTGTCCCACTCATCTGTAGTAATAGGTGTGATCTCTTTAATGCTGGCTTAGCTGGACAGAAGAGAGAGAAGTGTGTATTAAGAAAAATGTTTCTTGTCCTGATTATGTTGTTCAGTGGTTATAGTGTTGTCTCCAAATGCCAAGGTTATGGGTTCAATTCCCAGTCAGGGCACACGAAAGAATCAACCAATGAATAATACATAAGTAAGTGGAACAACAAATCACTGTTTCTTTTTCTCTCCCTCAAAAATCAAATAAAGAAAAATATTCTTTTGTGATTGTAGTTATGAAGTTTTTTATATTTTATGTTTTCATTTCTTCACTTGAGGCAATACTTCCATTTTATAGTGTGCTCTTTATTACAGATTCTGAATTATCTGTGACATTTACAAATTCATCAGGCTTAACTAATCTGAACTTCATAAAATAGAACCTAATTTTATAGTCCTTACATATTTTATTAGATTTGTTGGACGATTTAAGTCTCGTAAAGAACGAGAAGCAGAACTTGGAGCTAGGGCAAAAGAGTTCACCAACGTTTACATCAAGAATTTTGGAGAGGACATGGATGATGAGCGCCTTAAGGATCTCTTTGGCAAGTTTGGTAATGTGTCTGAATTAAATTTTTACACTCAAAGTTCTGAGTAATTGCTCGGTATTAGTTTTGGATACTTATACTAAAACTAAATGAAATGAGACTTACGTGGTACTTAAAATATTTGCAGTTATGTGGAATAAACTACTGATAGTCTATTATAGTACAGAGTGATATATAACTAGAAATCTATGCCATTTAAAGATTAATAGCATTATATTAGCACAGTAAGGTGTGACTATAATTGGACCAGATTTAAAAGGCTTTGCTATCTTAAATTGTGGTGGACTTACTCACACACAAATCCCATCTCATCAGGGGTGTGCATGTGACACAGCCAGCTTAGGTTGGAGTGCAGTCTTTAATTATAGGACAGGAAAGCTAGTGGGCTTCAGGCTCCGGTCCATCTCATCAGTAGCATCATGTCTGAGCAATGTAAACTGACTTAAAGACAAGGCCCAGATTTTCCGAGGATATCTCCGTGGGGTGGTCTTCTGAATCCATGATATCTTAACGACTGTTCCCTTGTATTTCAAAATAACTTCATTAAACTTCAAATCAATGAAGTGTAACCCGCCTTCCAGGGGTGTCCAGCCTGCGGGCTTCATGTGGCCCAGGATGGCTATGAAAGCAGCACAACACAAAATCATTAATTTACTTAAAACTTTTTTTTTTGTTTGGTTTTGTTAATGTTTGTATATTTAGTGTGTGGCCTAAGACACATTAAACATTCCAGTGTAGCCCAGAGACACCAAAAGGTTGGATACCCCTGGAACTTACAGTGTACCAAATGATTTGCTTGCCCCATACCCTTTTTTTCCTTGTGTTAAACCTTGATGGCTTTTTAAAAAGCAGTTCAAATAATAAAGAATTAGGAGATCTAATTTATTGCCACGTTAACATGCCACATTGAACCACTCTATTCCTTTAAGCAGAAAAGTTACTTTGCACAAAGATGAATTGTGGAAAATGTGACATTATGTCTTGCATCTTATTCAGATTTTCTCTAGTGATTGGTTTTTGTATATTTCATCTGTCTTTTTAATTAGAAGCTATTCCAGGGTTGGGTTGGGTATTGTTAACTACTTATTATCCCAGATGAATAATGCTGTCAGTGGACCACCAATATGTAAGTTTATCAGTTATATTCTCTGTGGTTTTGCATAGCAGAGATAGGAATTACAGACTTAGGACTGAGGCACATCAAAAGTTACAACCTACCTGTGCCAGTATATCTTGTAAATTCTTTTATCATCAAATGTGATTTTGTTTTTTGTTTTGCCTTTTTGCCCCACCCACCTCAGTTAAGTCTCTTTTCACTTGAGGGGTGGCGAAGGCCTGTGAGTTCAGAAACATGCCACCTCCTCCAGGTGACTCTCTGTCTTCCCAAATGGCAGACCCTGCATTCCCTTTACCACCTGTTGAAATTGAGTACGCCAGGGCATGAGGAATTCTTACTTGTTAATTCTGACATCAAAAAAAACACACAAATTGTTGGGTAAAAAACACATCTGTTTTCTACTAATACTAAGAATAAAACTTCATTTTTTTACAGTTGTCAAAAACATACCTCCATAAATGGAAGTAGGAGTGTTTCAGGGAATGGAGTCTTTACTTAGTTTCTTAGTAGAAATAAAGGGTCTTTGAAGAGAGTATTTAGTGCCCTGGCAGGGCTTTGTTTTTGAGTGCTGAAATTGGAAATGTATAAACTAAATGTTGTGTGGCATATCTTTTAGTCATTAAAAAAACTTTTTTAGGGCCTGCCTTGAGTGTGAAAGTAATGACCGATGAAAATGGAAAATCCAAAGGTTTTGGATTTGTAAGCTTCGAAAGGCATGAAGATGCACAGAAAGTAAGACTTTAATATACTAATTAAAGGCACTGTGGGTTTTCTGTATTTTCTAGCAGAGGGGGAGTATCACACTTGTTTGTTCTTATGTTGAAGTTTGCATGCATACCAATGGCTATTTTACATGTTTATCTTCACATATATTGTGCATTTTGTATATTTTGAGGGTATAAATTAGGAACCTTTATATTTCCAAAATGTCAAGGTTTAGTCTTTGTGATGGTTCTTACCTTTAGCTTTCATAACCTGATATATTTTTTCATTGTTAAAGAAACGAACTTCCATATTTCAAGTTAGTAATTAAAATTTTTGTGGTTTCTGTAAGGCTGTGGATGAGATGAATGGAAAGGAGCTTAATGGAAAACAAATTTACGTTGGCCGAGCTCAGAAAAAAGTGGAACGGCAGACGGAACTTAAGCGCAAATTTGAACAGATGAAGCAAGATAGGATCACCAGATACCAGGTTCATTTTTAATTGAACAAGCAAAATAAGACAGGGATGAGGAAACCTATTTTATGTTCATTTCATTTACTGCCAGGTAACTGGGGGGTTGTAGGGGGAACGGAGAAGAACATGGGATACAACACTAGGAAGTGTGCTGAAGTACCTCCACGTTTTCCCATTTCGTACAGTGTTTTGTTGTGTTTTTAGGGTGTTAACCTTTATGTGAAAAATCTTGATGATGGCATTGATGACGAACGTCTCCGGAAAGAGTTTTCTCCATTTGGTACAATCACTAGTGCAAAGGTAAGCATGTGATGGCTTGTTTGTTTTAAGGCTCTGGAAAAGTCCATGGATATAGATACTTAAATTTCACATTAATGATAGTTTTTTCTTTGTAAACAAGTAGTCATATAGGGTTCCCCCCCCCCAAAAAAAACTTTTATTTTCTGGATATCAAATTTTTGCTTCATCACTTCAAAAACATTGAAATTCGGAGCGGGTATGTAGCCCCATGGTTTATTTTTGCAGATGGAGAATTCTGAGTTCTTGCCTGAGGAAGGCTGTTGTAGATGACTGTGACTAATTGATCCTTAGTGATAGGCACCGTTGTATACTCGTTTAAACCTGTATTTTTACTGTTTTATTTATTATAAACTGGCAGGCAGTTTATTAGTGAACTGTACTTGTTAATTCCTGGGTAATCTATATTCACTTACTCATTCTGGGGGGTCAAACTTCAAGCCCTGTAGCAGTAAAGAGGGGTCATTTTTCTTTTTACTTGAAATCAGAGTGAGAAATACAGCAGTAGGATTCTATTCTGATTTCTGGGATTTTGGTTGAAGAACCTTTTCCTTGGTGGTTTTTATGGTGTTCAAGGTCCAAGAATCCCTCTGTATGTAGTTTTGTGCGTGTGTATTTGGGTGAGGGGGAGGGGTGAAGGGGGTGGGAGAAGTGTCTGAAACTTTGGTTGTATTCTCTGAAGAGTTGTAGGAAAAATTAAAACTCAGTGCTCTGGAATGACCCGTGGCTCATCTTTCTCCTCAACTTCTCCTGGCAACCCCTTTGACCGAGGCAGCAAGTAATGTGTTTGCCTTGCATTTCAGCCTGTGCTTTTTTGTAAGGGCACCTGGAGAATAGAATTTATTCTTGAGTGTCTTTATCCTCATTATTGTTCCCTAAGAGTTGTTTAAACTGAATATTGTGCATCAGTTTATTTTGAATGTATGATGATGCATACATGTTTCACAAAGGAGAATCTTTATCAAACCCTTTTTTAAAAGTTCTTTGTGGATTATAATATAAAGGAGGTGAAAAATTTGGCAGGAATTTATTTTAGAGGAGGAGGTCATTATGTTGATGATTTAATAATGCTTGCTAAGAAAACACATTCATCAAGGCAGAAGGGAAAAGGGGGAAAGGGTGACCCCTGTGTTCCTCATTTTTGGTCTCCGAGAGGGAGTTCAGGTGGCATTAATTTTTCATGCTTGTCCAAACAGTTCATATGTGCTTTAGAAAACGGGACCGTGCCGTACGTATTCTGCAGTGATCTCGGCACACATGCCCATATTTCTCAAGTTCTAGGGTTGAAACTGCTGGTTCGTGTATAAACAGATTTCTACTAGTCTTAAGAAGTTTAGTAGAAAATGGTGGCCTGTTTCTTGTGTGTTCACTATTTTTGCCTTTCTTTGTACATTGTTATATTGCATTGGTCATCTTTTATTAAGTTAGGGACAGTTTTATGTTGGCCCTTTGTTTAGTGTTGCAAATATTTTCTTCCAGTCTTGGACTTAGGATCTTGTGTCACCTCAGAGTTTTCCTATATTTTTGCATTTTATGTTCAGATTGAGAATCTGTCTGGCGATTTCATTTTGTAATGTGATATGAATAAGAGATCTAACTTAATTCTTTCCAGTTATCCCAGTGTACCATGTACTAAATAGTTCAAAGTCCATCTTTTCCCCATTATTTTTAAAATGTTTACTTTAACTTTCTAAATTCCCATAGTTGCATGGGTATATTTCTGGACTCTTTAAAATTTAGATATAATTGAGCCCTGGCTGGTGTGGCTCAGTGGATTGAGTATCAGCCTGTGAACCAAGAGGTTAATGGTTTGATTCCCAGTCAGGGCACATGACTGGGTTGTGGGCCAGGTCCTCAGCTGGGGGTGTATGAGAGGCAACTGATCTGTGTATCTTTTGCACATAGACATTTCTCTCCCTCTCTTTCTCCCCCCCTTCCCTTTTCTCTAAAATAAATAAATAAAATCTTTTGTAAAAATTTAGGTGTAATTGACTTATAAATGTTAGTTTCGGGTTTACAACACAGCTGCTCAGTATTTGTGTATGTTGTGATGAAAAGACTTTTAAGATCTAGCAACCTTCAAATATACATTATTATTAACTATAGTTCCTGTGTTGTGTCTTTCCATGGTTCATTTTGTAGCTAGGAATTTGTACCTTTAATCCCCTTAACCAATTTTCCCACCCCACTGGCACCCACAATGTTTTCTGTATCCATGAACTTGGGATTGGGGGGGGGGTGTTTTTTTTCTTTTGTCTTTTTTCCCCCTCTCATGTAAGTGAGATTATTGGAGTCTGTTTTATTGCTGTATGAGTTTTATAAGATTCAGTTGCTTTCCCTCCCCTCACCCCCTCCTCTCTAAAGAGTAGTGAAGCATTTGTTAGCTTGAATTGCTAGAAGAGTCAGATTTTAATTGTGGATATTTCCAGTGGTGCTAAAGTTTAGTAGGCCTTGAAGGTATTAGATATTTAGACCTTATTGAAAATCTTAACTGAATATCTTAAGAAGTTGCTATATTGTGCCTCTATCCCTTTACTTCCTCCTTTGGCTAGGATGATGGGTGTGTGTGGCTTGCCATTAATGTAAGGAAAAATTGTGGGAAAATGGTAAAAGTATTAATAGGGTTAGTTATTTGAGTCAGTTGTTTGGTTATAATTGTAATACTCTCCATTTGTGCCTCTTTCTACTATTGCTTTAATCTTGTTTAATATTTTTTTCTTTTCAACAGGTTATGATGGAGGGTGGTCGCAGCAAAGGGTTTGGTTTTGTATGTTTCTCCTCCCCCGAAGAAGCCACTAAAGCAGTCACAGAAATGAATGGTAGAATCGTGGCTACCAAGCCATTGTATGTAGCTTTAGCTCAGCGCAAAGAAGAACGCCAGGCTCACCTCACTAACCAGTATATGCAGAGAATGGCGAGTGTGAGAGCTGTGCCGAACCCCGTGATCAACCCCTACCAGCCAGCACCTCCTTCAGGTTACTTCATGGCAGCTATCCCACAGGTAGAGTTTTGCATTTGCTCATGTTTTTTGCTTGTGCCAAAAATGATAATATATGTGAGTGATTGAAATTTCTAAAATTCTTAGAGAGTGAGAACCTGCCAAATGTTTTGAAAGCATATAGCTATTTGCATTATTTGCTTTTCTCGTTCACTGATGCAGTTTCTTGCTTCCTGCAGACTCAGAACCGTGCTGCATACTACCCTCCTAGCCAAATTGCTCAACTAAGACCAAGTCCTCGCTGGACTGCTCAGGGTGCCAGACCTCATCGTAAGCCTTTCATTTTTCTCTTAAGGGGATGGACTATTTAGAATAAAAATATACATGAGACCAATTAGCTGTTAACGTTCAATGGTATATTAACTTGTTTTTCTTAATTTATGGTTAGTATATATTTTGGGAATCTTAGCCTTAAAAAAAGATTTGAAAAACATTTCATCATTCCTGTTTTTATTGAGACAGTGATTTCTATGCTGGTCTGATTATTCTTCGTAAGTTTGAGAATGGATCTGACCTTTTTTAATTCTTTTTACATTATTTGTTTCTTGAGGGGGTTTTTTTGTGGGGAGTGGGGTTTTGTCTCATTTTTCCTTTTTGTTTTATTTTTGTTCAGATCCAGTTATTATTTCATGCTTGGTTAGGCAGTAGTTTTAAAAGATACTGTCCCACGTATGAGGATCAGGGTCCTGGCAGTTCCGGCCCGGCCTGCGTGGAACAGTGCTGTGTCGCAGGGGCACTTGGGATGAGGTTCATGTGTCGTGTTCAGTTGTTAATAAGTACTTGTGTGAATGAGTGTTTGTTTACTGCTGCTCTGATCTGGTAGTCTGGAGAAAGTGCAGGTGTGAGTGAGACTTAAGCTTTTTAAAATCATGTTTCTATTTAGTCACTTTTAGCCTTTTGTTCAAGCCTCAGCTCTAAAATAGTATGAACATTTCACTGAGTTTTGCCAAGTTAATGTGTGTCTGTATTTTTAAATGCAGCATTCCAAAATATGCCCGGTGCTATCCGCCCAGCCGCTCCTAGACCACCATTTAGTACTATGAGACCAACTTCTTCGCAGGTTCCACGAGTCATGTCCACGCAGCGTGTTGGTGAGTCTGAACCCTGCCTGTAAAAATGGATCTCCATTTTGAAGTTGCAGAGTACATGTACAAAAATATGTGGGTGTTTGTTTCTCTTTTGGTTTTCTAGCTAACACATCAACACAGACAATGGGTCCACGTCCTGCAGCCGCTGCTGCTGCAGCTACTCCTGCTGTCCGCACTGTTCCACAGTATAAATATGCTGCAGGAGTTCGCAATCCTCAACAACATCTTAATGCACAGCCACAAGTTACCATGCAGCAGGTATAGACTGACTGATTTCTTCTTAAACACGACAGAACCTTGGTTGCAATCAAAGGAATTGACATCCATAAGATAGAGGAGAGTTTAAGCTATCTAGAACATCTTATTAATTGTCCCATTAATTGATAGCATGTAAAAATGTGATAGCAGGTAACAACATCTCATCTGCCTTACACCATAGGAATTAAGCGAGCATTCAGCATTTCCTGTTCTGAATTTGCTTGTGTGGTTTGAGAGCTTTGCTTGGCACAGCTCTAGGGAAGAAAGAATAAAATCAAGTTTGTGAAATGTGGCTTACCCTTTTTTTGACCCCCTGGGACCAAAACTGTCATTGATCATAACAGAAAACTGGTTCCAAAGAGTACTCCAGGTGGTTTGTTTGTTTTTAAAGGGAATTTTCCTGTGTGGTTATTGAGTAAATAAGTATTAATAGCTTTCTTAGGCCGTATTTCTGATTCATTGAGCTTCTCTTTGTTTCGATTGTAGTCTTTATCACTTCACTGATTTTTCAGTGATGACTGTCATTTGTACTTGCCATTACTTCTTTCTCTACTGTAAACTTAAAAATTTTCCTATTTTATATCTAGCCTGCTGTTCATGTACAAGGTCAGGAGCCTTTGACTGCTTCCATGTTGGCATCTGCCCCTCCTCAAGAGCAAAAGCAAATGTTGGGTAGGTACCTTTGTCTCACTTTGTCAGTTTGAGACTAGAAAATAAAAAGATAGAAAGACCTCCTTTGCACCTAATAATGATGCTAGGGTGGCGAGATTGCTCTCTGGGTTGGCATGCGTGATGACGACGGCACAGGTTGTCTGCCTGACTAAAGCCCAGACAGCATTCGGACGTTATGTTGTTGACGGATAGGGTAATAGGGTATTGCACCCTACTTGCTATGCACTCCCACCCCATATTTGGAAGGAGTTTGAATAATTTAATATAAACTGATATTGCCAAGAATTAATTGTCTTGAGGTGGATCTTAGTCTGTTTTATTAACCGCTTTTCCATAAAAAATACATTGATATAATCGTTCATGGGTTAGCATATATTTGCTATATACAAAAGGTTCTTAAATCCCAGTTTTAACATGGTAGATGCCCTTCAGTTTTGTTTTTTTATTGATTGAAGTTTTTTAATGTTTTTGTCCTTAGGTGAACGGCTGTTTCCTCTCATTCAAGCCATGCACCCTAATCTTGCTGGTAAAATCACTGGCATGTTATTGGAGATTGATAATTCAGAACTGCTTCATATGCTCGAGTCCCCGGAGTCTCTCCGTTCTAAAGTAATATAAAGTTATCATTTATCTAATAGTTTCTTAACTCTGTATTTCAGGGCTTTTGAAGTGTTGTACACAGGGTGGGGCAAAAGTAGGTTTACAGTTGCGAGTACACGAAACAGTTTGTTCTTGTAGTATTATTTATTAATGTAGTATTTTTCAAATGAGCAGCTGTAAACCTACTTTTGCCCCACTCTATACAAGCCATGCACTGTTCTGAGAGTTTTAGAAGTATTAACTGGAATCTCTAACAATAACCGATTATTCCTGCTTTGTAAGTGGGGAAACAAGCATGGAGACGTTGAATCATTAGCCCAAGCTCACAAAGCTAGGAAGTGGCAGGACTTGGTTTCACATCCAGTTTAATTCTAGTATCCAGGCTCTCTTAACTGCTGCTGCTTTACTGGGAAAGAAGACAGTGGTATTTGCTAATATTTTTCGAAGTAGTATAAGAAGGTTCATAATTCTTAGAACGGTGGTGGAATGGAACCCAACAGATAGGGACACATACAGTTAGAATGGTTTTTGGGTTAAGAATTCTTTCCACTTTCACCTTTGATGGACAGTTGTGTGTAGTCAAGCTGAGATTCTTCTAGTTACTCCTTTTCAGAGCCACTTTTTTTTTTTTTTTAAGGTTGATGAAGCTGTAGCTGTACTACAAGCCCACCAAGCTAAGGAGGCTGCCCAGAAAGCAGTGAACAGTGCCACCGGTGTTCCAACTGTTTAAAGTGAGCTTGCCCTTGTGGTCATTGTTTTAAGTTTGTTTCCTTAATCTTTTTATAACAGTTTGCACATACTTTGAAACATAGCAAAAAATTATTTTACTATTCAAGTGTGTTGCTAATTTTTCAAGGAGAAGTAGAAATAGAAAATAATTAAATTTTACCTGTTACCCTGGTATTGACTTGAACTTTTAAAATTAAAGCATGACTAAACATTTTGTATAGGAAGTTTCACTAAATGGCCTCTAACAGGAGTTGGCCCTTTGTGTAGTTATTTATTCTCTGGGGGCTCTCCTAGCTTATACCTATTCTTGGGTGGCAGCAATGACAGTTGTTCTTGAACCTCTACTATTAGTGTCCTTCATGACTCCTAAAGAAACTGGGTAATGTAGCTGTATAACCAGGACCAGAGATTGGGAAAGCATTTCTGTCAAGAACCAGATAGGAAGTATTTTGAGCTCTGTATGCCTTGTTTTTGTTGGCAGAAACTCTCACTGTTACAGGGTGAAAACTGCCACAGGGAGTGTGTAAACAAGTGAGTGTAGTTCAGGTCTAGTAAAACGTCACAGAAATAGGCTGCAGGCTGAATTTGGTCCACTGCTTTAATTTGCTGCTTGACAAGTAGTATTGGTCGTCTTGTCTTATCTAACTTATTTTGTTGGCTTTGCTTTTATTGACATATATTTGACATATAACAAGCAGATTTAAGGTGTACCATGTTAATTTTGATACATTTCTATACTGTGATATGATTGCCGTGGTAGGTATTCTTAGCACCTCTATCACTTAGGTAATAGTTCTCTTTTTAGTGATTAGAATAATTAAGGTGGGTCTCATTGCAAGCTTGATGATTGTAATCTTTTTTCCCCCACATTTACAGATCGATCAGGGACCATGAAACTTGCGCTTCACCGAAGAAAAATATCTAAACATCGAAAAACTTAAATATTATGGAAAAAAACATTGCAAAATAGAAAATAAATAAAAAAAAAGGAAAGGAAACTTTGGACCTTATATACCGAGCAAATGCCAGGTCTAGCAAACATGCTAGTCCTAGATTACTGACTGATTTAAAAACAACAAAAAAAAACAAAAAAAAAATAGTAAAATATAAAAACAAATTAATGTTTTATAGAGCCTGGGAAAAGAATTTTCAACAAAGTACAAAAATTTAAAACATTCCTTTCTTTAATTTTGTAATTCTTTGTGGAATAGCTCGGAATGTCAATTCTGTTTTAAATAACAGAATTGATAACTGAGCAAGGAATCGTAATTTGGATTATAAAATTCTTGCTTTAATAAAAACTCCTTAAACAGTGCACAGTGATGTTATGCTATTTTATTTCTCTGGGCTTGTGTAAATAGTTGATAAGATGGGATTAGCATAAGAACCTCTTTTATGACAAAGGTATCAAGAGTGTCTTGGTTTTATGGAAAAGATGAGGCATTAGACAGTTCCTTTAAAGTGTTTTATGTATTTAGAGTTCCTTGTGATCCTAAAGAAGGTGTATCTATTTGTTAAATGATCTTAACATTTTTTTTGAGATGATGCCAGTTTATGACTATGTTACTGAAGTTTTAATAGGTTGGGAGATTGTTAATTTCAGCCCTTGTTTATATGGTAGAAGACAGCAACAGCAGTTACTCTGTACAGAAGAGGATGTCTTTGGTGTGATTTTTTTATATTGATTAAATGTCAAAAAGTTAGGATTCATATTAAGGGTTTTTTTTTTTATTACTCTCACCTGAGGACATTTTGTTGTCTCTTTTAGAGAGAGGAAGGGAGAAAAACATTGATTGGTTGCCTCTCATACACACCCTGCCCAACCGGCAATCACCCCTTCAACCTTTGGGTGCACTGGAGGGTGCTCCAGCCAGGCGAGCCACACCAGCCACAGAGATTTTAAGTCTTTTTTTTGAAAGGTCTTAAGACAGTTGATTCTTACAACTTCATCTCAGTATACCTTATCCAAGGTATTATACTTGTGAAAAATTTATTGAACGTGGGAAACAATCTGGGTTGCCTCTCATTTGCGCCCCAACTGGGGAACCAAACCTTCAACATAGGCATGTGCCCTGGCTGGGGATTGAACCTCTGACCTTTAGTTTACTGGATGACGCTCCAACCAAGTGAGCCACACCAGCCAGGGCTATCCCTAGTAATTTAAATGCACTTTTGAGAATGGTCTGAACACCACCAGCTCTGTTGCCTTTGGGAGCAAGTAAATCCAAATAAAAATTCCTGCCCTGGCTGGTGTGTGTCAATGGATTGAGCGCCGCCGGCTTGTGAACCAAAGGGTTGCTGGTTCCACTCCCAGTCAGGGCACATGCCTGGGTTGGGGGCTGGGTCCACGGTGGGGTGCGCATGCGAGGCAACCACACATTGATGTTTCCCCTCTGAAAATAAAATCCTTTGAAACAAAAAAACCATTCCTGTGACATTGTCAGACTGCATGATTAAGTCTTATAAGTTGTACCTGGAATGCTTTTCACTTTTGGCTTCCTGTTTTGGCACTCACCCCCACCCCCCATGGTTTAAACCCAAGAATCCGAGTGCCCCATAGGCATTCGAATGACTGTCTTATATTTCATCTAGTCATAGGCTTACCTTCTAAGCAGCTTGACAGTTCATTAAGATGAAAATAATTTCTGTCACCAGGAAAGTTTTTCCTCAATGCTTTAGGAAGGTAGAGAAGTATATGTCCTATTTTTCAAAATTTGAGTATAAAATGGTTCAAGCTTTGAGGTTTTAAGGGAGTAAACTTTAGTTTGAGCTACCTTAGAGGTGGTATCTATAAACATCCCACAGTTTAAAACTTTTAAGTCTAGAGTTGCAGGTGAGAGTATGTAGATAGCAGTTTTCTTTATATGATTGTGACAGGGAGAAAAATTGTCTCCATCTGTTCTACAGATACCTTTATTTTTTTAGATGAAGCAGACTTCTGACTATTGCAAGGAGCCAACAAAACCAAAGTTTGTGATCTGCTGACAGGTTTCACATTAGGAAAAAACACACTCCATCCTTGTTTGCTTCTGTATTTGTAAGCTCATCACAAACTTAAGGCTGCTTTTATTGGAAGTTTTGATGGGTGACGTTCTTCTGTTGGCACTAGATGTGTATCAGCTGACTGAAACTGCTTTTTTGGCCTAGAACTTTTTTCCTCCATTTCAACATTTATACTGAGATTTGCATGGTTAGTATCAGCTAAAGGAATGTATCTTATTCATGTATGCTATCTTTGATTACGTCAGTTATGCACTGCTTAACCACAGGGCTGCGTTCTGAGAGATACGTTGTCAGGCAGTTCCTTGTCTGAACATCATAGAGCACACCTAGGCAAACCTAATGGTACTCTTACAGGATTGGCAGCGTGGGGGTGGGGGGGCGTTGTTCACACCAGCCTCACAGATACTCGAGGAATGCCTTGTGCTATGCCAGGATGGCTGTTACGTCACTAGGCAGTAGGACATTCTCAGCTCCGTCATCTTACGGCACCACCATCATATAAGCAGTCTGTTATTGACTAAAATGTCATGCAGTACATGACTTTTCCCTGCCATCAATTCCAGTCCTGTGCACAGCTTAACAGTGGGGATATGTGATGGGGACACGCACTGAGAAATGCATCATTGAGCAGTTTGTCTGTGGGGACATCGTGTGCACTCACACAGACCTGGATGGGACGACCCTGTGCACGTGGGCTGGGCAGTGTGTCCCGTTGCGCCAGTGCCACAGCCTGCGCAGGATGTTTTGTACTGAATACTGTGTAGGCTGTTGTAATACAGTACTTGTGTATCTAAACGTGGGAAAAGTACAGTGAAAACCTGCGTGCCATCAGTGGAGTGGAACTTGCAGGACAAAGTCACTCCCACTGAGTCAGCGAGTCTCGGTGAGGGTTAGGATATTTACACCTAGGACGTTACTCGAGACTCAAACTGAACACTTCCTTAGGCTCCGCTAAATTTATGAAGTATATGTTCCTTCAGTAATGAATTTATTTTAGCTTACTGCAACCGTTTAACTTTGTCTTAATTTTTTTCACTTTTTGAATCTTGCAGTAACACTAAGCTTAAAACTAACATTTTATAGCTGTACAAAAATTTTATTTATATCCTTAATCTGTTTTTTCCCTATTTAATTAAAAAAAATTTTAACTTTGTCTAAAATTAGTCTAAGACACAAGCATACCATTAGTGCAGGCCTGTAAAGGATCATCAGTATCACTGCCTTCAACCTCCACACCCTGTCCCCCTGGGAGGTCTTCAGGGGCAATAACACAAACTGGAGGTGTCATCTATGATTATTGCCTTCTGGAAGACCTGAAGGACCTGCCTTAAGGTTATTCCTGAGGCTGTTACTCTTAAGAAATTGGCTTGTGTTTTGCTTGGTTTGTTTCTTTCTCTATTTTAAGTGTTCTTGTGAGCAGGTAATGCATCACAAACATTCCTCTCTATTAATGAAAACCTTTTAAGTGTTGGGATCCATGTTTTCAAGGGTTTTTTTTTTAAGGACCTTGTTGAGATCTGCAAAAGCTGCTAAGCTAACTCTTCACTCTGCATTTTCTTGGGGGCATTCTTGTTCTGCAGTTTCATTTCTCTTCAGCTATTTCTCTTCAGCTATGCGTTCCTGTTCCAGCCCCAACCACACATTAGTCTAGTACTCAGGAACCCCCTGAAGGAGCTCCTCAATGTCATCTTCATCCACACCCAGTTAAAGTGGTTGGCCATCTCAGCCACAGGCTTGATTTTTTGCAACCTCATCTTTGGCAAATCCTTTGAAGTCATAGACCAACTGTTTAGGTGTCCTCACTCCTTGGTGACATCACCCCAAGCCCAAACAAACTTCAGTGTGCCGTCAAAGATGTAATTTTCTCAGGACTGCATTCCATCAGTGTCTTCAGTTGCAGCAATAGTCTTGGCAAAGCTCATATAACACCTGATCCATTTTTTGGATCAAAGAGGTAGTGTTTGCAGAGAGAAATACCACATTGACAATGTGATGGCAATCACCAACAAAAGAAGGTCCAGGAACAAAATCTTGAAAGGTATGCTATTCTCCAAACAGCACTTTGTTTCACTGGCATAGCAATTCAGGAGGGCATCTTGGAAGAGGAGCTGGGTCATCCGTGACTTCTTACTGCTCCTGGAGGACACTGGCAGTGTGTGTTTATTGACACGTCTGAGGGCCTTGGGGTTCTCACTGTGCCTGATCACAAAGGGTTTCCATTGGTACCCTGCAACACTGTCCCAAGCAAGACTTCTGTCCTTAACAGCCTTGAAACAAAATGAAGAGTGACTAGGAAGGTGGAAAACCAGTGATGGTTATTACTGTCCTTGTGGATGAAAGTCCTTCCCAGCCGTCCATGTCCAGAATATGGAGTTTTCATTGATACTGAGTATTTCCTCAGACAAGTAATTTTCCTCTGAAGCTTATCTAGAGTTTCCAAAATTTTCCCTGCTGCCTTCATATCAGCACTGGCAGATTCACCACTCATTTTTACATTAATGAATAAGTTCTCAAATCGTTTAAATTACCTGGAGCTAGCAGTAAATTCAACATCATTGTTAGGTCTTGCTTCTTGCAACATTGCTAAAAGAAATTGGGGGGGAGGTCATGGTCATCATAATGCTGAGGGGGATCTTTTTCTGTGCCTCGTCTTCAGTCAGGTCACTAGAAGTTTCTCCATGTCTCAGATAGGTCCTTTACGAATTTTTTTAGTTTCACTGCCTTCAATGAAGCAAATCCTTGAAGTTTCCGTCACTTTGTTCTTGTTCTTGAAGATCAGACTTACGGGGGAACGGGACGTGCCTGACAGGTGATCAGTGACCGTCACTGATTTTCCACCTGCCTACTTCGTTATCACTGTGAATGTTGTTCCCAGGTCGTTTCACCGGACGTGGCCTCTTTCTGACAACACTAATAGTGAGTTTTGTACACTTCGGGGCCGTGATGAACAAACATGAGACTGAGTCATCCTGTGCATGAGTGAATCAAGAGACACAGTGAACAAGACGTATGAGGCTGCTGCTGACATAACAGCCTGCTGTTTTACAGGAAATTTTCCAAATAGACTATAGTGATACAGTATAGTGCGTACAGAAACCAGTGACAGTCACTGATTATCATGATCAAGTATTACGTACTGTGTAAATTGTACGTGCTGCACTTTCTGTGACTGGCAGCACAGGTTGGTTTCATCAGCACACCACAGACACAGGAGTGTATTCGGCTGTGATGTTACAATGTCTACGACATTACCAGGAATTTTTCTGCTTCATTATAATAATCTCATGGGACCACTGTTGTAGATGAAGTCTG